CCCGCCGCATACCGTGGATGTAGCCACGGTGCTAACCAATGTCAAGGCGAAGTTGAAACAACGTCAGCTGCAGAATACATTGGATTAGATCAACTCGGTCATGGAAGGACGACAAAGTAGGCTCTATGAGGTATCTCTGATCGAGGCCATGGCCTGGTCGAAGGAGGCATGGCGCAGTGTTTCGCAAGTAACCATCTCAAACTGCTGGAAACGAACTGGCATTCTTGACAGCGAACCATCGGTTCAGCCAACCTTGAGTGAAAACTAATAACTGTGATTCCTTATATACTGTCAAAAATGCACTTTTTGCCTGTACCAAAGTCGGGGGAAATCAGTACTCACTTTTTGGACCAATTATGCAATTTGAAGGTTTTCAGGACTACTCCATGTAGTACCAACTGTACCGTGCAGAGTTAATGAAACTACAGTATTAGAAATCGGCAAAACTCTATTAATTTATATTGCCTCCGTCGATGTACTTGTCGTTTGTATCGGACGCCCATTAACCAATTTTGATTGGACAATTTTCACCAATCAAATTGCTGCAACCCATGGAATTGAGGTGCCAATAGCAACGCCAGAGAATTCGTCACGATGGCGGCGGCAGCGGATCCTTCTGCGTCGCTGGAATGGAAGCGCATCATCCACTCGATGCGGAACCCGGGAAGAAGCGAGTACTCATTTGTGCCACACAAATACATCCATTCCAAACCTGTCCTGTCCCCGAGGCCGAACGGTGTCGACTACCAAGTTGAAGGCGCTGACGAAACGACCCCCATCAATGCGAAGTACGCTGCTCGACTTGATGTCCCATCTTACGTTTACCTGATGTTACATAGGCAATACGCCGTAGAGCTCCCAGACGTTTTGCTCGTCCACTACAGCACCTTTATGTATTGGCTCGTCCTCATCGTGTCGCTAAGCTTCGTGTGTGTCGAATGGGTGCTCCTGTATCCCCTGTCTCCCTCTCGCCTGTACAACATCCAAGTCGACATGTTTGACGGCCGCCTAAACCATGCCGAATTCTTCTTCCAGCAAATCCTTCCCCTTGGTATGCTACTTGGTGCGTTGATCACGTTCAAGCTGGCAGATCGGTTGGGTCGGGCCACTATGCTCGAGCTTGCTTCCATTCCTTACGTGCTAGGATGGTTGTTTGTCGGTGTCGCGTTTGGCCAGGTTACTTTGCTCATCGGACGTTATTGCCTCGGTGTCGCCATCGCCGTTTATTCCATTGTGGTGCCGATTATGCTTGCTGAAATCAGCGAAGATGACTCTCGCGGAAGGGTCTTTGCCGCCTCTCAACTTGTCCGCATGGTCGTGGGCCGCATGCTGTACCTTGGCATTGGTCAAGTATTTGTCTACTTGAGCACGTGCTACGTCAGTTTCGACTTAAGCGAGTGGAAGGTCATTGCCACGCTGGGAGTCGCTCCTGGGCTGGTGCTCTTGGTCTGCATGCAATTCGTTCCCGACACCCCGACGTGGCTGCTCCTTCGGCACAACGACCGTGCTACGAGCTTTGCCGTGTGCTTAAAGATCCAGAGCCCGGGCTTGTCCATGCGCCATACGCGCGCTGAAGTCCGGGTCAACTCAATTCTCCACGCAGACTTTCTATCGTGTCAGGCTGCTCAAGACGACCTCGGTGTGGCCCACCAAAACTTGGGCTTCTCTAGACCCCTTGTCTTGACGTGCAGTCTCTACGCTCTCCAAGCCATCGCGACTACGATCCTCGAACCGTCTTTGTATCCCACTACCGCCAACGCGTACGCATTTGGGCTCTTTGGTATCGGCCTGAATCTAAACGAGTGGAATCAAGTCGTCGTGAGCTACTTCCTCGCGGGGGCTGCTGCTTTGGGTCTCCTTGCTGCGTCCTTTGTCATTGATTCCCAAGGACGAGTGCAGTGTCTAAAGCTTGGCTCTGGCGTCGTCATCGTCACGTCGGCGCTGCTTCTCCTGCTCAAAAATATCATGAGCCAGGACAAGGCAACTAGTGATTCGGTGCTGGCGCTGAATGAAGTCGGCTCGGCCTTGGTGCTCCTTATGACGGCAGGACATTACGTTGGCTTGGGGCTCTGTCCCATTTTGATTGCAAGCGAAATCTTCCCAGCGAGGCGCCGCGTTGCAGGCGTGAGTGTGGTCATCCTTTCTGGCAGCGCGACATCCCTCGCCGTCGGTTATGCGATCAACTATCTGCGAAGTTCGCCTTTGGTGACGTCTCAAGTCTTGTTTCAAGGCACTATCGCCGTCGTGGGGGCTGTGAACGCTATCGCCCTGGTCGTTGCAGTGTTCTTTGTCCCTGAAACGAAGTTGCGGTCGCTACAAGAGATTGAAGCTATCTTGAGTGGGTACACCCCCATCACACCGCCAAACATTCGATCCAACTCGGTCATCCGCGTGATGCACAAACCTGCCGATTATGGCACAGCGTTCGAGTAGACGTCTGCATGGACAACTAGTATGAATCGAACGCACTAGATGTGAATGCTCCTCCTTCCATACCTATCGATGAGGCCGCCCCTCTTCCCCACGTGATTCCGTGACGATGGACGGATCCAAGTCTGCCGTTCAGAGCTCGGGGCGGCGGTGCTCGATATGGTACAGTCGAGTCACCCCACGTATTCCGAGGGCTCGTCCCACACGCAAAACTTGAAGCGAATGAACCCGCCAGTTGATCCGGCAAACCAGAGAACGGCCATGAGAAGTGGAGCTGACAACGTTGTGTGGTTGTCGTGGTCTTGCCGATTGGCATGGACAAACTCTTCTAAAAGAGTAGGAATCGGATCATAGGCCATGAAGAGTTTGCAGTTGAATTTGCTACGTCCATGCACAAGTGCTCCATGGAATGCATCAGAATGGAAGCACTCATCGAGCGTAACCACAGCTAACTCGGGAGACGGTTGTGACGTGCGCCAGTGTCGTGTACGACACAGTTTGATGGACGTCGGCAAAAGCAAGGACCCATGACTTCTTCACCGCCCGCGCAAGACGACAGTAGCCTGCCAGAGCGGGTGCAGCCACAATTGGCGACTCGGCCACCAATACAATCGCTTTCGCATGGGTTGTCAATGGATCCGCTATGACGGCAAACAATCCATCAGCGTCGATTGCATATCGCAACATGGTGAACTCACCATCGTAGATCAAGAAATCACCACCAAACTTGGAGCCTGACGTGATGTAGAGTCCCTTTTCCCACAGGTCGAGGAATACACGGTGGCGCAGGGGAATTGCCGCTGCATCAACAACAGGAGCGGCGTCCACGGAGTCGCCTGACACATACAAGTTGACGTAATTCGACTACTTCTGGTGAGCGCATGATTGTGAGTGAATCAATTGTACCTTGGTCTGTCCTCCTCTTCTTCAAGTGACGGCTCCTACCACAACATGATGAGGGAAGGATTGTCTTTGGTATCTTGCAGGAGAAGAAGTACTGAGTGGGTGGTGGAGATTGGAAAAAGGACGCGACTGCACTCCACACGGATTGCCACCAGCCAACAGCCACAGGTGATGCTGATGGTCCTGTCGCCTCAACAATTGATGATGCTGAGGTCGCGATGAATCCATGGACTCGACCAACATACACCTGCTCGGGAGTCAGTTGAAGCGGAATGCGACAGAGCGGTGATTTGTTGCTGTTTTCTCGGCATATGCATCCAGTACCGCACACTATCCTGTGCTCTTCCCGCAAGGACCTTGCATCTGCGGCCGTCCACACCTTGCCATCGCGGCACACTTGAATCATGAATGCAATTGGTCGAATGAATCTTGATTGGCCATTCAAACCATCCATTTAGCGCCATATATTTCAACTTGGTGCAAATTTCTGTCAGATACGCGGAATTTGGAATATATCCACACGTTGGATAAATTGTTGAACTCGAAGCGTTGGGGTCGCGCCTCAGGCTAGTCACTATCGTCGCTGTCATCGCTGGAAAGATGCGCTTGGCGCTCATCCGATGTTTGAGAATGCTTGTTCTTCTTCTTGGACGTTCGCATGAACACTGTTTGTCGGAAATGTCGACCACTGCGATGGCGGAGCGTGGGTGTGACCTGTCCGCCGTCGCATTCTCCATCTTGGTAAACAAACGTCCACGTTCCGTAATCGGCATGGCCTTGAATTCCTCGGGCTTTTAAATCGGCCAGCATGTCATGGCCCATCGTGTCTTCAATAAAGTCACCAGCTTGGAATCGCCCACGACCAAACACGAACGACCGATAGTGACTCGTACGACCGACGTGTGGCTTGTCGTACCAAAAGTAAAGCGGCGCTAGCAGGTGCGGCCCAAATTTCTGTGGGATCGAAGGAGGAAGGAATGGCCGCTGCGCTCGCCGCAACGACCTCCGTGACGAGAACCCAATGTAGTGAAGGGTGTTGGGGAAGTCGTTCATGGTGTGACAGAGCGACGTCAAGTCGACAGGATGCTATGCACACACTCGTGACTGCAATATCGTTCGTGTAGAAAAATATACCAAAAAAGTCCAGTCGTGCTGGTGAATCAAAACGTACGGAGTAGTAACCCTAATGAGCAAAATAGAGGTGTGAGCAATCGACGACTATCTCCACTTATCGCACAGTTTGAGGGCTTCACGGACAGCCAGAGCGAATCCCAAACGCTTGGTGCATGTGATGACGTGAAACGAGGCCTTTCCATCCAAAGCTTCAGTTGTGATGGTGCATTCCGCTTTGAGTCGTGCCCCAACATGAATCGTCGACGTGGAAGTGGAGCAATTCAAATCGGACGCATCTTCCGCGTAGCCCAAGTGCCGACGAAAGACAGAGCGAGCTTGTGTTTGGTATTCAATGTAGTTGGCCAGTTCGTCCTCGTTGATGCGCACGGACTTAAACTTGGATTCGCGATTGGTCGTTGTTGTCAGTACGTAGCCGTCGCATGTGAGAATAGTGTCGCATGTGCTCAATCCAGGCACGAAGGAGAAGCTCTGCAAGACCTCTTCCAGAACTGACGTTGATGGGTTCGACGGAATAGCGGAGGTCGTAATGATGACGGTGACAAGGTCGCGGAGTTGCATGCTCGCTGGACAGGATGGCGCGGAATGCCGTTGCCGCTTGTAGGTCGACTCTGAAATGTTACAAAATTTTAGCTTAGATATTGTATAGGTACAAAACCACACAGATTACGATATACGCTAAAACAATCGATACTTGAAAATTATACTCGGATATTTAGGGCACAGTACAAACGCGAATATCGCGAAAATGTCGTGTAATCACAATATCCGGAGAGTATCCGTACAGATCGTGATTGAGGTCGTCGTCGCAGACGCCGCAGTTCCTGCATTCCATGACGCTGCATCAGAACTTGCCGCATGATGATGTGCATCCACTCTTGGACAAGTACAATGCATGGGTGTTGGAGAATGAATCGTTTGCTCGACGTTTGGAGAACGTTCTGTACGTGGTGCCGATGCTTGTACCTGCAGCGGTGGGTAATCCCGACGTTGTGTCGGAAGTTGGATACTCCATGGGAGGACTTTTGAAGCTCTATCACGACTGGGTGCTCTACCAAGTCAATCCATTGTCCAAGGAGAAGACTCCAAGTCACTCGTCGTGGTCTGTTGTCCAAGCAGCACGAGTACCGTTGTCGATCATCTCTCAGGTTCAAGTTGCGGCCGAAATGATTGCCCTTAAGACAGGTGGCAAGCAGTCCCGATGGAACGTCGTACGTGTTATGCTCCGCAACTCCGCTTATATCTCATCTGCCGCATTGACGTAGATCGTCGTGTTGGAGTTGTGCAAGTGCGTCTGCAAGCTAGTTCTCCTCGCCCATACCAAGGGGCAAGTCCTGTACAAATGCGGGCCAGTACGACAAATCCAGCCACGTTTGTGTCGATTGATTTTTTGCGCTTAGTACATTTCGTGCGAAGTCCGCCGGCAGGATGGAGAAGAGTACACTGGCCAACGCAGCGGTCGTGTGTATCGGTCATCGCGTCCCAACCAGCAACCACCGACTCTGTCCTTCCTTGTACGTGTCAGTGCATGGAGGTCGCCGATTTTTATCGTCGTTTCCGTGCAGGATCCAACGTATGCGTCGGGAAACGAAGGTGCTACTCAAACTGCCGCCGAAGTACTGCATATCCTTCGCCCAGTGGTGTATGCGGTCCTTTGGTACGTTGTTTTCTCGGTCTTTATTCTCGTATGTCCATGTCGACCCATGCCCCGACTGCTTTCATCGTATTCCATGGCCCCTCACGATTTTATGTAGCCAACGACAGTCGGATCGGTCGTGGGTGCCATTCCTCGCGTCGTTCTCCACCGAAATTGCAGGGTACGTGAGCCTGACAAGCGCTGTCACCGAGTTTTGCTTCAATGCGTTTGGATTCTAATAAACTGTTGCGGTGCAGCATCTTGCTGTCGACGTCCGTGGAGGCCAAACGCAAGCGCGTGAAAAACGACAAAGTCGACGAAGAGTACCATCGACGAAAGGTTATCCGTGTGGTGGTGGTGCAAGTTGGCGGAAGGCCTGACTCGGTGAATGCACCGATCCATTGTAGATGTGTCTGTTTCTGTACTTGCTGCGGAATCCCGTGTTCTCTTCCGTCACGGAGCCGGTCGTGGAAGGCGTATGTGTACATGCACCATGTAATTCATTGGCATGACCCATGGCATAGGTGTGCAACTCTTCGCAACCGATTCCTCTTCTCGGCCGCCTCATCCGCTTCGCCGTGGACAACGGTCTGCATTACTACCAGCGCAGACACTTCTACACGTCGGCATCGTAGTCTCGTAGCGTCGGCGAAGGCCCGAACGACGAATTCAATGACTACTACTCATTGGCTTGTTCCACAGTGAATGCGAAATTTGGTCCTTTTATACGGATGTCCGGATAAATCCTGTCAGGAATTATCGCTGGGGTTGCTGCCCGACTCCCTGCGTCCACCGCCGCCACTCCGCCGACGTCCACCGACGGATGGACCTGTGGTTCTACGGCTTCGTGTTGTCCTTATTCTTGGCATATCCAGCGTACTTTATCTATGGCACTCGAGACCGGCAACGAGGCAAATTTGTGTTGGAGCTGATACTTGCCATACAGGACACCAGGGAGAGAGCGTTCGCAAAAGTTAAGCCGCTGTTTACCGTTTTTGCGCGTTCGCTCGAGAGCCCTGTTGTTAAAATCGAGCCCGACGGTGCTACCATGGACGAAGTCACTCAAGAGTCACCGAAACCTTGCCTCACGCCGCTTGCATCTCTCAAGACGTTTGATGTGGACAAAGACCCCACCGACGCGGGGCTGGCGAACCAGTCCAATTTTTGCTTCCTGAATGCGACACTGCACTGCATATTTCGCTCTCCACAGTTCCTCACATCTCTGTACCGAACAATTCGACGTCGAGAAGGCCTGGGAGACATTTCCCCAATCGAGGTTGCCAAGGCAAAATGCTGCTCCGCTCTCCTGGAAACTGGCCTGACTATGAAGGATGATGCAACTAGAGCTAGCAGCAACTGTGTAGATGTTGTAGAATTGGGTCTCACAGCTGCAATGCGGTCGTGCTCACCGTCCTTGATCGCCCAGACTCCGTTCCGACAGGTCCAGCAAGACGCTGAAGAGTGCCTCTCCTTCTTCTTCGACATCCTCGACGACGAAGCCACGAACAATGCTCCCCCGTCGGAGTCCTTGCTGGCAACCCAGCTCTTGCAAGCCATTCATTCAGCCTCGAGCACAGACCCCGCCACGTACGCACATCTAGTGGAACGGCTGGCCAAGCTCAAGTGGGCAGACTACACATCCCGACATCCGTCGTTCGTTGCTCGCCAGTTTGGGGCCCAGGTCGTTCGAGGCTCGAGCTGTCAAAATTGTCGTCGGCTGACGTGCCACATGCAGGAAACCAGGTATACTCCTTTCGTCCTATGGGCACAATCAGCGGTCTAAGAGGCGCTCCACATGTAGCGTGCTCTCGGTGGCATTGCATTCGTCGACGCTCCCCATGTCATTAGAAAGCTGCTTGGACCAGTTTAAATCGATCGAAGCCATGGTGAACGACAATCAAGTGTGGTGCGGCTACTGCCAGTCCAAAACCGACCAATCGATCCAAACCTTGCTGGTGCACACCCCGCCGTGCATCGTTCTGCAGCTCAAGCGATTCACGTGCGACGGCGCGATCTCGAAAAACTCTGCGGGCGTGTATTTTCCCGTCCACCGACTCAACTTGTCCCGGGCGTGCTTTGCCCGAAGCGATGTCACGTCGTCCAACTACCGCCTCTATGCAGTGTGTGCCCACATCGGGGACAGTTTGCACCGCGGGCACTACATCGCATACTGCCGACTGCGGCAGACCCACACAACATCACACTGGCTCAAGTACGATGACGAAGCCGTCACAAGTCTGGACGAGTCCACCATGCTGCACGAAACGCTGCGCACGGCCTACCTGTTGTTTTACGAACGATACGACATTGCGTGAAGGTCAAGAACATATTTATTGCCAACTACTTGGGGTGACCACACAAGTCGGCAAGGGACCAGACGCAAGTGCTGGCGTGCATTGCGTGGCGCCCACTTAATTCCACAACGCTGCCGACAACGAGATGTCTGTACTCCATCCACGTCGCGCAAACATGCCAATGCACACTCGTATATCTTGGCCGTATATGCCTCTTTTCTCGAAGTGAAATATTTCGACTTTATGAAGGATATTCCAAAATTCGTAAAGATATTTCCGGATACACAAATTCAAAAACCCATCTTCGTTGCATTCTCTGACAAGTGCAAGAAAGATCAGCACGTGCCACAGACCGCTGGCGTTGAACGCAAGCGACCTCATCCCGGTTCTGACGACCATATCCGTTGACGCCGCAATCGTCGAGCGCATCTAGCTTGCATCGATGGACTCTATGGATGGCGACGACACTATCTACCGCCCCCTTTTGTTTTACTCGACGGGGTACTCATCGTCCCAGATGCTTCTCGATGACGATGCATTCCGACAAAACAGACAGCAGCACAACGAGGATATCGATGGCAACGAGCCACATAATCCATTACTTCAAGGACCGTTGGCGCCGCGTCTTCGCCTGGAAACATTGTCGTCAACGGCCGCGTCTGCCGTCCTTGGCCTTACGTACATTGCATTTTGCGTCGCCATCGCGCTGCCTTACCTCCATACGATTGGTTATCTATCAAAGGTAATGTCATGCAGCGCACATGTAAATTGCGTGGTTCATTCTCGAGCAGGTTGAGCCATTATCTGGGGAGTTGTGCTCCCCGAACTTCCACCAAAACGCGTGCACATACATCGACCTCGAGCCCCACGGCGGCAAGAATGCATGGTGGACAGCAAACGTAAGCAACGTGTCGTGGCTTGCAGGATCCATGTCTCTCGATTTGGAGCCCCGGGGAGTGAATGTTACATCCGAGACGAGCTTTGTGTTGGAGTACGATGTGTTTGTGTATGGCGGCGGCCACTCTGCCCAAGTCGACAAATCCACCGACTACATCTTTGCCCGATATAACCAAAGCGTCTGGCTGCATTGTCCCGGTGGCATCTGCGGTCGAACGACGCTGTTTGATGTCTCCCAGGACAATGAGGGCTTGGTAAAGTGCGCCAACATCGCTCGTGATGCAGCTCACGTGTGCACTTCGTTAGGGCGGGGCGGGCTACGGGTCGTACTTGATCGTTGTGTTCTATCACAGCTATTACCCTCACTTGTTCGCACGCGCTGTCGATTATTTCTTCTCGTACACGTAGGCAGCGACGCCATCATGTGTGAGTCACCCATGCCCTGTCCTCATTGTAGAGCTCCAGCAATGCATGTGAGCGAGTTGGTCGTGCGAGCGGTCTTGGTCGCAGCAACGATTGCCTTCTTGCCGTGGTGGTCGTACCAAACGTTTCAGGGATCGTCGGGTGCCCGGCCCATTCATACGCGTGTGCTGTGGCTGGGCTTGGTGCTTGTCTTGTACCAGAACCCGATCTTCATGCTAGCGCAATGGTTTCGAACAGTTGACGACGGAACTCGCTTTGCCGCCAACCTGTGCCAAACGATCTCGACGACTTGCGTGCGCCTCGCTTGGCTCTTTCTGATGGACCACCCGCTCAGTGCGTCGTCCGCGTGGTGGAAGGTGGTCTATGGCGTCGTACATGTCGCGATGTCATTGTGCATGTGCGTGCTTCGATTCCCTCGCCTCTTCTCTATCGCCCAACACGAATCGACCTTTGTCTTGCTGGGGTTTGCCATGATCTTCCTGACGTGGACATGGCTCTTCTGGTTGCGATCGATCTGTCTTCGCACGATGGCGACACTCAACGACAAGCTCATGTACATGACATCGCGCGACCAGCAACTCAGCTACCGCTTCTTGTTCCTCGAGCTTGTACTCGTCATCGTGTACGTGGGCATGTCATCGATAGCGCAGGTCGTGTCGCTCGTCCGCGAATGGATTCTGTACGGAACAGCGCCATTTGTCCTGGCAGCGGTCAGTTCCTTCTCGGGCACGGGCGCGGGCCAAGTCGTGCCAGTCGAGCAAATCCTTTTCGTCAGCATGGTCGTGTACATGACGATGGTGGTGCACTTACCTCCCGTCGAATCCGCGACCTCCACCGCTCGGTTCTACATTGAAGAAGCCCACTACGCGTCCGCGCGGAATCCGCGGCTATCGCACTTTGGCCATCGACATCCGTCCCAGTACGACGACTCGGCCCTGTTTTGTCTCGAAACGGCCGAGTGGCTCGTGCAGCTTGCGTGGCAAGCATATATGGATCCGTTGGGTAATCCAAGTGCGTCCGGCAATGGTGTGCAGGCGTTGGAAACGTTTGGCTTTGAGCTCATTGTCCATTTGCGCCACGAACTCCTCGATACGCAAGCCATTGTGTGCATGCATCGCACGAGAAAGCGACTGGTCGTGGCGTTCCGCGGGTCGGTCAGCAAAGCGCACTGGAAAACCAACTTGCGATTTCACCAAGTGCCACTTTGGATGCAATCGATGCAGGGGATGGCCAGGTCGAGTCGACAACAGTCGTGCAAAGATCGGGCAATGCGATGGGCATCCCGCATGCCGCTCTTAAACTTGGCCCTTCCGCGAGTTCACAGCGGTACGACGGTGGAATTTGACCCGTCATGGATATCTAAGAGCTGCCATCGGACTTCCCATTAGGTTTTTGGAAGGCGTATGCGGCCGTGCGATCCGACTTGAAAGAAACGTTGCGCTTACTCCTAGACGAACACCCCGACCTGTCGCTGTACGTCACAGGGCACAGCATGGGGGGAGCGCTCGCCGTCCTGGCCGCCTACGACTGCGCCGTGCATTTCAACATTGCCATCACCATGTACAACTTTGGCGCTCCCCGCGTCGGCAACCCAGCATTCGTGCGGCAGTACAACCGCGCTGTCCCCAACAGCCACCGCGTCGTGTTGGATGGGGATCTGGTCGCGGGAATTCCACGCTTTGTATGTTTTCATGGTATCGAGAAAGCTCGGCATGCTGGCTCAGCGGAATGAACTGTGTAGTGGGGGCTGTACGAGCACGTGGGATCCGAAATTGCGTTGGACGAAGGAGGAAACGTGATTGTCGATCCGAGTTTCATCGAGCGGCGGTTGCACCAACGATCCAAGACACGCGTCGCGGTGCACGGGATGCTAGTCTATCGCAGCGTCCTTCGAAAGTGCTTTGACAATTTGCAGCTTTAACACATGAATCGTTTGATGCCTCGGTGATGTTACAAGTCGAGGCCGTTGAAGGAGGGGCGGCGCGAGGTCGTCGTGGACTTGGACGGAGGAGCTCCCAACGGGTCAATGAATACGCGGGGCGAACCGCCTCGTGACTACAATGGATTTTTACTCTCAGACATGGCCAGAGATCTTACCGTTGTGTGGTCAGAACGCTTGGTATTGCCACCCCCAGGATTCATTTGAACACGCTGGTAGGACGACCCCGGACGGGAGTACTCGGCGACCTACGGCAGCCATGGCGTGGTCACTGAGCGGATAATTTTGGCACGTCGGGACTACCGCTGGCTCGTAGCCGGATTCTTCCGCTTGGTTTTCAACCTTTCGGATGATTCCTTTCTCGATCAGATCAGACTTCAAGCTCTTCTCGCACCCTCGTGCTAACCATCGTTTTGTGTCCCTATCCGCCCTCATGTCAACGCGATGGTACCTGCAAAAAAGGGCCAAATCGCTTCCGAAATACTGGCGTAGTCGCACGGCGTACGACCGTCCATGTCGCTGGCAAACGCATCCGCGTCGGCTTCAAGAAGGATGCGCACGACTTTTCCATGCTCTTGAAACGCTGCCGCGTGCAATGCCGTCCATCCAGTACCTGGTCGTGCATGTTGAGGCTAAGTCGAGACGAAGAAGACGTTCTACACGAGGTAGACGGACGGCCTATACCTTCGTTGCACGCTCTGACACGAGCGCCACGACTCAGGAGATACTTGACCATGGCTTCATTGCCCCATAACGCAGCTGCGCACAAAGGCGTCGTGCCATCTGCGTAGGTCGATTTCAGCTGCGATAGCTTGATATGTACATCACACCTCTTCCAGGGGCGTCGATGTCGGCGCCGTTGTCGAGGAGGAACTCGACCTACATCCGTCAAATAACGAGGTGTTGGCACAAAGCTAAATCCGATGCTCGTACCATCGTCTTGGACCCATTTGCCGCGGCTTCCGCAAACTGGACGTGCGAAAGGACAGTGCCGCCCTCCACCTCTTGGTTCACTCCATCCATCGTCGTTCGTTTCCGTTTTGTCGCCGAAACCGTTCGTTGTCCGGATAAGTATTCCGGATGTCAGCGTCCATCGCAACACACAGCATGCACAGCCGCGACGAGCGGTTCATGCGCCTGGCGATTGCGCAGGCGCACTTGTCACCACCAACAGAAAGCGCATACTGCGTCGGATGCGTTGTTGTCAAGGACGACCGTGTGATCTCCACGGGGTTTTCCCGCGAATTACCGGGAAACACGCACGCTGTATGGACACACTGCATTCGCTGTTGCTCATGTCGCTTTCGTTGGTGTAGGAACAGTGTGCGTTGTTGAAGCTAGACATGCAAGCCAGTGGCACGGAGCTATACACGACCATGGAGCCGTGTAGTGTTCGTCTGTCAGGAAATAAGCCGTGCGTGGAGAGTTGTATTGCGGCGAACGTGTCCCGAATTGTGATTGGCGTCATGGAACCAAGCAAGTTTGTCCAGTGTGAAGGCGTGCGCCTACTTCGAGAGCAAGGCATTCAAGTCGACCTGCTTGTCGGATTGGAGGCAGAGTGCTTGGCCCCGAATAAGCACTTGGACATGTAGTTCAATGGATAAACGGTGTCACACCTAAGGAGCTGATCTCATCCGAATCAACACGTGCTGTTGAGATCACCACGTATTTCTCTGTCAATCAAACTATGTCACACAAGTGAACACCCACCTTCCACTTCCTGTCGCTGGCAAGAAGGCTTGAAAGAGAGCATCATGAGGCGTGGCGATTCCACTTTGTGATGCGAGAACGATGCGCCACGTCGTCGAGTATGCACAATCCAAGTCACGTCAATCAACTCCGCGCCGGGAATTTCCCGTCGGCGCTACGACCGGCGAATCCCGGGTCCTTCACGCCGCCACAGTTAGAGGCGTCGTCCTCAATTCGTTGAGCAAGGCTTGCTCGTGGGCGAGCCACATCACTGGAGTTGTCCACTTCCATCGCGCGGACGAAGTAGTTCAACGAACTTGGAGAAAGTTGCAGTGGCATATCCAATGCAATGTACTAGGCAGGTTCTTAGTTAGTACATTCAGACATGAAACGATGAATCCGACATCTCTCTCATCTCTCAACGATGTGCATGTCGACCAGTTCCAGACGCCATGCACACTTTATTCGGTCACCAAGGCAGCCTCTATGCATTTTGCAGCTACAGCAGCAACGCGCTGCGCATGCTGACGAAGCCGCGCGCTTGCCCGGTCCACGGCACGTTGCCAAAAGGACTAACTAGTGCTCTGCGAAACGTGCTGCACCCTCTTTTGTCAATTGGAAGAACAATTCCCGCCCCCGTCGGCTCAACGTTGCGTCGAGTGCTCCTTCCTGGTCCTGTCTGCCGCGACGGCGATAGACCGAGACCTGCCGTTCCCACGTTCACCATGAGCGCCCAGACGTCTGTGTGTTGTAGATGCGGTGGACGGAGCCTGCCAGGGCATTCGTCGTACTTGGGAACTAACCTGTGCGCTGCAGACGCGTGCCCGAAGCTCCAGGTCCGGGGGAATCATTGCATTCGCCACATCCGTTCGCTGGAGCTCACGCCGAACAAAGGTTTTGTCGCACGAAAGTGTACGTTTTGCAAACGTGATGCCAACATCTTGTCCAAAGCTCGAACTCTTCTGCACACGTACATCGTATCGAGTCCAAGTGACCTGCGCATCCTGTTTTCATCGGCGGCCAAGTCTGACGACGGCGTCACACAAGCAACACCGCCAATTGTCCTGACGAGAAGGCAACCTGGAAGCAGGAAACGGGCAGCTCGCCCCCGTGGCTTCCATCGGTTGAAGAAACCAACGTTGAATCACCCATTCAGCCGGCAATTTCCTCTGACTGCACACGACTCCGAAAATGCCATACACATCGATGACGACTTTGACGAGCCTTTGAGCACTCCGTTTGCTCAACAGCGTATCGACTCGACTTCTCCATATGCCCCAGCCATGACGATCACGCCACAGCGAAGCGACGATTGTTCAGGAAGCACGATGTGCTTACACCCACCCGACGCCAATGCAGTTTACCCAGTCCACGGGGACGTACAAGTGCACCAACCCCTACCGAGCGATGTGCCGTTGCATTGTCCAAACCTCTCTTCTGCACGATCTCAACAAAGTCAGGTTGACAGTTGCGCCAGTTCGACCAATCTATCACCACAGGACGACTGCTCGAAGCAAACTCCTCTAGAGTTCGACAAGTGCACGAATGTATTTTGCAAGCGGCCGGCGACTGCGCCTGACGGCTCCTGTGACGTCCACACACGAAGCAGGATTACAACCAACCATCAGAGGCCAGGAAGTGCGTTCTGTTCGTGGGAGCTCTGCAATGCTGCAGCAATTGTTGGTGGGGAGGGTCCCCTTCGCTGTGTGCTGCACCGAAATAGCCCGGCAACAAGTGGGAAGTCGATGGACATTCAACTGCCCGTCGATCCAACGTGTTTTGTGAATAAATGCCCCGCGACGACCACAAAGTGCCTGGCTCCCCATTGCGAAATCCCTGCCAAGTCACAAGGGTATTGCCGGCAGCACTTTCGCGCAGTCTATTCCACCACTGTTGCCGACGACCTCGCCATGGCATCTAATCCTCCGCGCAACCCAACAGTGGCCGCTGCAGCTCCTCAAGCACAGTCTCGCTCGCCACCGCGGGTCATTTTGAACGCCGTTGAAGGTTTGGTGAATGCTTTGAGTGGCCGTCACCCCACGTCGGCGCCGTCCACCACGGTCAAGCGGTGCAAAGAAGAAAAAGTCACGTGTGTACGCATGGCGCTCTTTGATGGGTATTGCCGGGACCACTTCAGCGCGCGTCGATGCCAAGTTGACGCATGCAACAACCTCCGCCACGGCGGCGAGTATTGCCGAGAGCACGAGGACAAAAGAATTGAGGGAGGAGAGGGCGCCTTGACTTCGAACAAGGCTCCTTGCACAGTCCCAACCAGTACGGATGGTACCGAGCATGCGGCGGCAGCGCCGCCCGACACGCCATCCAATTCCCTTGCGTGTCATGCTACTCCGACCATCGCCATCTCCAACAACGTGAATACATCCCAGTCTGTCCAACTTGCAACGACATCCATCCACGACAACATCGAGCACTCTGTCGTCGCTTCATCAGCTGCACCTGCCTCGATCCACGTCTCTTCTGTGGCAACCCCTGCGACTTGCCAAACTCAATTCTGTACCCTCGTACAAAAGACAAATGGACTCTGTCGAAAGCACTACCTCGAGTCCTTGTTGACCCACTCGTCCGTACAATCGAAAGCTTCGGGGCCAGGCAGTGCAGCTGGTCCACATGGTCTGTCTCGAGCGTACGAGTCGTTCAACTCGTCATCGAAAAGTTCGTCCATTTGCTCGCGATCTGGCTGCATGTCTTCGGTGCAGGCCGACTCGGACCTGTGTGAAGCGCACCAACGCGTCATGGAGGACAGCGCAACCGATGAAAATACACGCACTGTGGAAGAGCCCTCCGAATTCTTCTCGTCCAGCATGGGACTGTTGAGTTCGAGTGGAGCCACGAGTCATGACGTACCATTGTGCAAGGTTCCGGGCTGTGCTTTGACTGCCAAGACCCAAGGGTATTGTAGAAGCCATGCCCAAACAATCCAAGCTCAGATGATGACGGGCGCGTTGGGGGAGGACCCTTTGACAATTCCTGGGTCCGTGCTATGCAAAGCACGAGGGTGTACGATTACTGCCAAGCTCAAGGGATATTGTCGCAAGCATAAACACCTGATTAAAGTGGTCGAAGTCGTCCCGCCAAAGGTCGATACGTCAGCCGACTCCAGCGGCCCCAAAAGATCAGCTTCCAACCGCGGGGTTTACGAAAGGTGCAGCGCTCAAGGGTGCCGGCTCAAAGTGATATCGAATGGGCTGTGCCGCAACCATTGTATGCCCTCGGCCCAGTGCCGCGAAAGCGGGTGCGATTTCACGTCGCAAGTGGCCGGCTACTGTGTCATGCACGCTCCAAAGGGAGTCCATTAGAATATAGCCGACACGTGGCATGAACCCAGCCTGTGAACTCGGACCTTCGTCCATCGTGCGCGTCGTCACCATGATGCAAATACGTGTGACGAATGCTCGGCGTCGTGGGATGCGTCACCAAATTCAAAAGAACGACGTTGCAGCGTTATCCTTGTGGTTAAATACAGGAAGTGGTGGTGGCTTGCCGTAAAAAATCCCACAATCGCCAGGGCCGTCGGACGGCATCGAGAGCGCGTTAGTGCGGTGAACAACTGTACCATCGCACAGGAGGTACTACGGCTGTTGTAAGCGACACGCTCTTGAGGGACAATCAAAACGGAAGCAAGAAGTTTTGTCGATGCTGACGACGTTGCCAGCGTCTGGCGCGGCGTCGGTGGCATGGCTTTGCCGATTTCTTCGTACATGTACCACGCGTCTCGGCGTTTGTGCAAGGTCTGGTCGAAACAATGAGGTTCCAGATGCTCTTTCATGGAGGAAAGGCTCCTAAGTTGCTGCGAAGACGAAAGAAAACGTGATCATGACGAAGCCAAGGTGGAGAAAACTATCTCAAAATCGTCGACGGCGCTCCCGTACAAGTAAAGCACTCCCACAGTCGTCACTGCGAGTGCGGAAAACAAGGCTGACGCCCCCACCACCTTGCGACACTTTATCTTGCCACGCGATTGCCACAGCGCGACTTGCAGTGTCAACTACACAAGGCAGTCGCGTTGGTCCCATTTTAATTACAGCAGTGATTGGCACATGCAGAGCAAGGCTGCAACAACCAAAAGCCACTGCATGATCGCGAGAGCTGTGTCCAAATACTGGCAAAATGAGCGTCGACGGCGTGATTCCATTGCGCACTGTCCACCCACATGACCTGGTGACCTTGCTGACGACGGCCACATACCAGTACCATTTCACTCGCGATACTCGAGCTATTGAAAGCTGGAAAGAGCTTGTCCATCAGCGATGTATCGTGGATGTACACGCCGATGGGGCCAATCGTGTCCTGCCAAGGAGCGTTGTAGTCGCACGACCGGACGATCACTAGCCACGACGGGTGCAGGTTTGCTGCGAGCAACATGATCGACCCGCACGCCACGACCCCGCCAACTGCGCAACAAAGATGGAGCTCTCATTACATCAAAGCCGGAAGGCATGACGTGCGGGGTAGGTACTTCCGCAGAAGGTCGTAGCCCATGGCGACTCGGTCGATGGATTTGTTTTATCGAACCGTAGGTGTTATCCGGATTTCATCGGACATCCGGATACCCCCGTTGTTGCCACGTTGTAGTCGCCATCATGGCCCCGACGACGAAAGGTGTCCAAGGAAACGAGGCCCCCGCTGGCCGTCAGCCGCGCGTGGCAATCGTGTATAATGCTAACAGTAGCGTTACGAAACGACAAGTCAACCTGGCACAATACTTGTCTGCGTGCATGTCCCAGGGTGGATGGTGTGAAAAGGTCCATTTGGTGGCACTCCCGTCGCCGCACTCGTCTGCACCTGCGTCAGAGAGTGCATCCTTCAAAGCCCGTCGGCGTGACGGTACCGTCTTGACGTCGTCGGAGGTTGTGCAGACAACGGACGTGTCTGTCCTCTTCCCAAGCGACGTCATCTTCTTTTGCGTGGATATTCTGCAGCTCAACCATGCAGCGGGCATCGTCGCCAAGGCGATTGAACTTCCCAAGGGGAAGAAACCCCAGCAGCATGTAATTGTACACCTGGGGGCGTCGCTCAAGCGTGTCGAAGGCTTTGAAAAGACGCATTTCCCACACAAGATTGTGCTTCAAGGTGGAGCATGCTTTGATGTTGTCCTCGACCTCAATGGTATTCTCACGCCGCTGTCAAACGGGTCCGTCTTCATCGAACGCCTCTCGTACGTCCATTCTTCAAGACTCTCTCTCCTCGGCACACGTAGCTGATGGCGACCGCAGGAAGGACAAGGAGCAGGCTCTCTTTTGCCTCGATATCATCCAGAGTTGCGCATTGCAAGTAATTAGCCGCCGCAACTTGCGAGGTAAAGCCACGTACAAATCCCGCCGTGTTCACTGCCCGTGCTCGTAGCGATTCATTGGTCCAACGCGATGCTCACGTCGCTCTACGTCGTGTGTGCATTGACCAACTTGACCGTGTCGGAGGCTCTTCGGGACCGCAAGTGCCGTCTCCTGTATGCAGACATGCTGCATGAGATCCTGGAGGTACTCGATCGCGTCGCCAAAGACAAGCACTGGTCGTTGGATCAATCTGCGCACTGCTTTCTCCCCGTGCCGTCGATTCTCGCGCTGTTGCCGCTGCCAAACGCGGTCTTTTCGATCGTGACCAAGTTGTTTGACTTTGGCGTGACGTCGGGCACGTTGGACGATATCCCTCAACTCACGGTATTAACAACATACATGTTCAGTCGTCCGCATCGGTCGTTGAGGTGATTTCGCGGGTGGATCCGTTTGCCCGACGGGATCGAGCGAGGCATTTGTGCTGCTGCGACGAATTTATCATGTCGCTCGTGACGTAGGCCGACCTGGTTGACGGTTTGACCACGGAACTCGTTTACGAGTACGACGACGTGTTTGATCTCGCGTCAAGATACAATGTCAACGTCCGCACACTGCCGCAGCTCCAAACGCTCGTCATTCAAGCGGCCAAAGCGAAGAAAGGATCGCCCGCATTGAGCTCGGCGGTGCTGTACTCGACCGTCCAACCGTCTTCCGCCAGTCGGAAGCACTCGATGTGGCTGGTGCTCAAACTCATGTTGACCATCGTCTTCACGATAGGATTGATCGTCATGCTACGCTAGTGAATGCAGTCAGGACGTCGACAACTGTGTTCGTGTGGCATGGCATTCCGCAAAAGAGATGAAAGTGAGAGCAGGGCGCATTGGAAACACTATCTTGGCCAGTTGCAACCTCAACGACGACAGTCGCCACCAATCGTTAGCTGAGTGATTATTTGTTGGCTGGTGTAGTCGCCTTCTTAGTGCTGCCTGCAAACATCGAGTTGCGGCGTGAGATGCCTTTCGAGATGGCACGATGATGCCACTCCTTTCTTGAGTTTTCACTCCACCACGTACGACAGTAGCACCATCCACTCGTCGAGGTATGCACCGCTGTTGGGCCTTCTGCCCTTTGTTTTTACTCGCGCTTGCCCAGGATATGATTACATGATGCACAACACGTTTGCTCCGATTGGGACGAAAGACTGGTGGAAGGAGGCATGTTCATGACTTTGTAGTGGTTGCTTTGCAGTTTTGCTATCGTGGATGGCGACACAAGTCTGGAGGTGTCAGCTGTCGGATGGAACAGGGGGTTTTGCTAAGGAATGGCTGGGGTTGTCGTCGATACCGAGTACTTCTGGGCCCTTCCATCAGGACCCATCCATGCTGTGCACAAACCTACGCGCCCCCCACGCTACCCATGCCGCAGTGACGGGGTATATTCCATCCAAAAAGGGCTTTCCTTTCACCCGAGTCAGAGGTTGACCACGCCGTGCCCGAGGTGTTTGACAAGAACTACGGCTCGAACCTCGCCACTACATGTGACAGCACCAGCCACGGTCCGGTCCCTGGATTTTCTCGAGTCGCACAAGAACAGTCAAAGTGTTTTCAAGTCGTTTTGGCATGTTTCGGGGTATTGCTCGAAGTGGTTTTGGCGAATGCCCCCCGCGGTATCGACTGAGTTGGTTTTCCATCCTTCTCGTGACCTGCGCGAGGTAGCTGTTGCTGGATCTTAAGCCGGAGCTGGTCTTGGTCGTACAACTGCGCTGCAATGAGCCGCAACCGGTGGTCCTTCGAGATGCATCCGCACCATCGCTCTTGCCACGTCAAAGGCGGCGCCCGGCCAAGGAACCGTGTCATGTAGTTGCGCCATGCGTCGATTTTGAGCTGGCGTGCGTGAATTTTTGCCCAGACGCGTTTGCCCAGCGTCTTTTCCTGCACCGTTTCTTGAAAGTGAAACAGAGGCCAAAACACGAGCGGAAACTTGCGGTTCATCTCGATAAATTCGGGAAAATCCAAGAGGCCGTCGTGGTTGGCGTCGAATGTGTCCATGGCTTTGCGAAAGTTGCCTTGAAAGAACCCTTCGCCCTTGATTTGAATCGAGTCGCACATCACGACAAACTCGTCTTTGCTCAGCGCCCCTATAAGATAGCCAAGTGAATGCGCCGCGTGGAACAAATCGCCGTGACTGCAGCAACGAGGAATTCCATCGTTGGCTCGGGGCAGCCTCTCGAGTACTGCATGGATCATTTCCATGCATGCATGGGCGGCGCGACATGGCCGCAAGGTGCTTCGAACGACATACCCGAGTCGTCTTCGTCGAACGTGTCAAAGCACAACCGGTAGATGTCGGTTTGGGACATGAGTACAAAGGTGCACACAATGCGGACAAAGTCGTCGATGTCGAGCTTGACGGGGTCGGTCTTGTGTGCGCCAAAGCGGAGGATGGCCGACGTGTACTTGTTTTGAGGAGTGTCGAGCAAAAAGTAAAATTCGCGCTAGCCATTTCACGATGAATCGCATCGGACGCACAGGAATGGGATAGGAGACAAGCACGGTCATGAAGCCCCATGGCGCAGGACAAGTGCGGCGGGCGGGCGGTTCATAATCGTACCAGGTTGATGAGCCCCCTACAAGAGAGAGTGAAGTCCCGTGAGCTGCACGAGCGAGCAGGGCGGCACACGTACGAGCAACTTAGGTCAATGTCGTTGAAAATAGCAATCAGGTTTTGGACTTCTTGAACTGTCATGCCCATGGAAAAGCAGAGGTCTTCCGACTCGCGCTGTTGAAATTGTGGACCAAACAGTCCCAACGGTGTGTCAAAGTCAGGAACGTCGGTAGCATTTGTAGCTGTTTTCGAGAGCTTCGGAGTCGATTTTGGTGGTGAAGCGCTAGAAAATGGTGTCGGCTCTGGGGTTACTGTAATCGGGGTGGCGTCGGAGGGTTTGGAGGACACTGAAGGCTCAGCGGGTGGGTTCACCCGGTCCTTCTTCGGTTTTTCAGGTGAGGATTGGGGCTTTGGGGGGGATGATTGTGACGTCGGAGCATTTGCTGAATGTGTCGCATTTTTCACGGAGATGTGTTTCGTTGGAGATGATGTTGGCATGGTTGTTGGGGTGGTGCCTTGTGGAGTGGAGGACGACGCAGAGTACTTTCTGGAGGCCCCGACAGCGGGCTTGTCGGAACCTTGCTTTGCCCACGCGGTTTTCGTAGGGCTCTTCTCGCCATTAGTGGTCTTGGCCAGCGGCGGCGTTGCCGCCTGCGCCGCGATCTTGGTACCATTCGTTGACATCGCGCCATGCAAACGAGTCCTCTGCGTACGAGGTATGCGATGGTATAAAAATAGAATCCTCTGACATATAGTCAGGCAAATCGATCAACTTATGGAGGTTATTTGTTTTGCATACAATTTTACAGATTACGTTGCTTTCGAATTGTTGACAAAGGAATAGTATGACGTGTAGAAAAATATTTTTGTTTGGCACAGTGGTGAAATTCATCGACATGAGCCACCACCACAACGATGACGCGAGCATCCACAGCTTGAGCGACGACGGCGGAGCCGGCCGCAAGCGTGGAGCGCATTGGAATCACTACTCGGACGATTTCTCTGACCCCAAGCGCAAGCGGTGCAAGTGCAACTACTGTGGTCATGCTTTCTACGCCGACCCTCAACGCATGCGTAACCACACCGAGACGTGCCGAGACGCTCCAGTCGGGGTAAAGTCTCCGTCGTTGTCGGCTGGTGCGTCGAATGATTCGACGTCGTTTTCGTCGAATGATCGGATCATTCCGGTGCAGCGTCTTGTCGCGTCCAGTCTCACAGACACTGCCACCGTCGTCAGGCCACTGCGCCCTGACGTAGCCCCTGGGACAAAGCCCAAGCGCATTCTCGTGACAGGTGGCGCAGGCTTCCTCGGTCTTCACCTGTGCAAGCGTCTTCTCGATATGGGCCACGACGTGATTTGCCTCGACAACCTCTTCACAAGCCAACGCATCTCGTTGCGCGACCTGCAACGCTACGAGAACTTTGAGTTTGTGCGCCATGACGTGACCGAGCCGTACTATTGCGAAGTCGACGAGATCTATAACTTGGCGTGCCCAGCATCCCCCGTGCACTATCAGTACAACCCGATCAAGACAACCAAGGTATACGTTCTCCATCCAAACGGACTGTGCCATGCATCCCATACTTAGGTGTCGTTCCTCGGTGCGCTGCATATGCTCGGTCTTGCCAAGCGGTTGAATGCCAAGGTGCTGCAGGCGTCGACGTCCGAAGTCTACGGCGACCCGGAGCAATCGCCCCAACAAGAAAGTTACTTTGGGTTCGTACCTCCCACCTCCAACTGCACTTTGCGCGTCCACGTCGTTTGTCGTGTGGTGGGTTTCAAACACCGCCTTGTCGACCGACGTAGTCGTCGCATGTGCTGTGCATCCTCATGATCGTTGACGTGGACCCTGTAGTCATGTCAACTGCAACGGTGTGCGATCGTGCTACGACGAAGGCAAGCGCGTCGCTGAGACGCTCTTCTTTGATTACGAGCGCATGCACAACACGCAGATCCGCGTCGCCCGCATTTTCAACACGTACGGACCGGGGATGCACCCCCACGACGGCCGCGTCGTGAGCAATTTCATTTTGCAAGCGCTGGCGAACGAACCGATCACGATCTATGGCGATGGGAGCCAAACACGCAGCTTCTGCTACGTCGATGACCTTATCGACGGGCTCATCATGTTTATGGACAACCCGACGCACACCGGTCCCATGAATTTGGGTAACCCGTTCGAGATCACGATCCTCACGTTGGCGACCACAATCATCCGCATGACGCAGTCGTCGTCGACTCTCGAGTTCCTCGATCTCCCTGGCGACGATCCCAAGCTCCGCCGCCCCGACATCACCCTCGCCAAGTACGTCCACCACGCGCACGGCACATCGTGAGTCGTCGGTAGGTCTGTGTTGGATTGGACGCCGTCTGTGCAGCTCGAAACTGGGCTCCAGCGCACGATCGACTACTTTCGCAACTTGGACTTGACGCGGTATACCAAGCCAACATCCCACACAGCGCACCGCAGCACGGAAGCGCTCAAGGCGAAGAAAAAGGTCGACGTGTAAACTCGCCAACACACGAACGAGCTGCATCGAAGCCTCTTTTGCTGTACACGTGATAGAACCCATTGTGGAGAGGACGTCGACCGAGAATAATGTGGTGTGCATGGTCGTGGAAACGACTTTAATCCATCGAGTGAGTCACCTACTGCGCGTCCGAACGACTCTGGTCCGACGCTTCCGCCGCCTTGGCAGCTTCCGCCTCTGCTTCCCTGATCTTTCGAATGCCGGCGACACCGTCTCCTTGTCCGATTTTGGCGCCGGGGAACTTGACCACGACAATGCTCATGTTGTCGCGGCTGCCAAGGGATAGGCAGTGGTCCAGCACTTCTTCGCAGATCAGCCCCATGTTGCTCTCACCTTGCGCCATCAACGACCGCACAAGCGCAACTGCATCTTCGTTTGACATGACGTCCCATATTCCATCGCAGGCCAAGAGGAGAAACTCGTCCTCTTTCGTGCGTTCGGCGACCTTGACGTCGGGTTCGGCAGATACCTACACCAACACCACCACCACCACGCTCAGCTGGAAGCAATTTTTTCTCGGTGGGCGTCCTTCGAAAGGCAAACGGCATTCCATATTCCGCAACTAAATTGGGGGAACACGTCAATGAGGTACATACCTGCTGGGCTGCTGCTGGCAAGTCGGGTCGCTGTTTATAGATGAAGTCGCCCAATGCGCGGGACACCTTGCACCAAAGTCAGCATCCATTATCTCATAGAGATCAAAGGGGGCTTTGCATACCGCTAGGTCGCCATTGACGCGATTGTTGCGGACGGACCCGCCAGCATTCTCGATACGTTGTCGTTCGCCCGTGTTGTTGGGCTTGTGGTCGTATGACATAGGGATCACACCTCCGTCAGTCGCGAGTACACTTCGTGAGTCCCCGGAATTCGCCACCACGATGAATAAATCGGTGACGAATGCAGCGATGGCGGTACAACCGCTGTGATCTTCACCGCCGATTACTTCTTTGAGTCTCCTGTGGTCGTCGTCAAGCGCCAGAAATGCCCGTGTAAGCGAACGGCCAATGTCGTCTTTGTTCTTCACATCCATAACTTCTTTCTCCAATACATCAATCAGGTTCTGCGCACTCTCGTCGGCAACCAACTTGCCCCCGTGGCCATCGAAAACAGCAAAAATGGAGCATCGGTCGAACGCCGGGATCGACGTGCGTGCAACATGTGCATCCTCCATCGTCGCGCGCCACCCCTGCATACAGCTCACGCCAAATTCAAGACCATTGCCCGTGCCCACATGCGTGTCCTTCTCGGTAATCGGACTGCTGAGGAAGTTGCCCATGGTGGATGATGCTTCTCCGTCTTGAAACGAAATCCAAATGAACAAAAAAGTGAAGGGAAGCCCTCACCTATCGAAAAGTGCGCGCACTTCAAATTTTGTCCAGAATTTTAACACCGTAGCATCAATTTCACACTATTTCTACAATTTAGTCCATATTTATGAAAGTAGTGAAATTTATCCCCAGTGCGCGCACTCGAGTGGTTTCACCAAAGTCGAACGACCGTGGACGGAAGGAATGGCTCTCTAAATTGGACAATTGCCACTCTAGGCGACACTTCCGCATGTTGCGAGTCGTCTCCGTGTGCATCGTTCCCCTGCGAGACCCCGTGACCAACAGTGAATGATTCCCCGAATCGCGGCTGCCACGCCCTCCCTCGTGTGAATATCAATGTCTTGTGAAACACAATGCGCAATGACCCCTTGTGTCCGAACAAAGCGATCGTGACCGAAAGCGAGAACACCTCTATTCTGGACCTCATATCTACTGCGTGCCAACAAACATGGATAGCTGTGACTGGGAATCTTTGTCTTGTCGCAATGCTTGGCCCTGCACCGCCTCTTGTTGCTTGGCTACAGCGGCCGCCTCTCGTTCCTTTGCTTCTTCTGCGGCCTGTCGTTGCTTTCGAAGGCCATAAACTCCTTCGCCCTCCCCAAACTTGGCGCCATCAAACGCCACGAGCACCACGCTCATGTTGTCACGACTACACGATCCATCATGACAATGGAGCGGACGGTCGAGAAATCACCTGTCGAGGGACAAACAATGGTCCAAAAGCTCTTCGCAGATCAATCCCATGTCCCTTTCACCCAACTTCATGACACTTCGAACAAAGTCGCATGCTTCTTCGTTGCTCAAGACGTCCCACACGCCATCGCACGCCAGCAAGAGGAACTCATTCGCCGCCGATCGCGCTTCGATCTTGATGTCAGGCTCCGGTGACACCTGCAACATGGGCATGCTGCCACGTGAGTGCTTGTCGCTCTATCCAATGTGCGAACCTGTTGCTCTTCTGGTGCCAGGTCGTGGCGTTCCTTGAAATAATAGTCGCCTAAAGCCCGGGACACCTACACATACATGCTGTTGCAGCAGACTGTGCCCCGGGTCGAATCTTTACCGCGAGATCGCCATTCACGCGGTTGTTCCGGACCATTCCGCCTGCATTCTCAATACGTAGCTTTTCTCGAGGGTTGTTGGGCTTGTGATCGAATGACATTGGTTCGACTGCATCACCACATGTTGCCAAGACGCTGCGGGAGTCGCCAGAGTTTGCCACAATGATGTGCGTGTCGGTCACGATGGCAGCAATCGCGGTACATCCGCTTTGATCTTCGCCATTTTCAACCCTTTGCAACTTCCGGAGATCGTTGTCGAGTGTCAAGAACGCGTTTCGAAGTGCGGCACCGATAGCGTCCGGTTCATTCTTGTGCTGGTTATTCCCTTGCCCCTTTGCGAGCGTGTCGACCAATCGTAAGGCACTTTCTTCCGCCACGAGGTTGCCACCATGTCCATCAAACACGGCGAAGAGTGAGCTTCCTGCAAATGCAGGGATGGTGGTCTCAGCGACATGCGCGTCTTCCATGGTCGTGCGCCATCCTTGCATGCAGCTCACGCCATACGATATACCGTTTCCCGTGCCCACATGCGTGATTTTGTCTGTCTTGGGGCTGCTCAAGAAGTTGCCCATCTTCGCCGACGCAAATCTTTTGGAACAAGCCGCCTCACAGGCAATTCGGCCGTTCCGATTTCTGTTTTATTCGCCTTTTTCCTGTACTCATACAGAGCAAAAGTCAACGTCCTGTCGCTGTCATGCTTAGTACTAGTAGCCAATTCCTACTAGTAATATGGGGTAGTGTGTGTGATCTGATCTACTACTACTACGCAGCTCTGCACAAGTGCAGTACTAAGTAGAACTATTAGTAAGGCCTTTCGGTAGTTGCCTACTGTACTGCGCCATCGCGAAAATTGCCCATCAGGAGGACCTTCGGGAGGAGCATGCAAAACCTAGCAACGATTCCTACCCATGACGCAGCAGTATTTTGAAAGTGCACGCAATGGAACCGGCCAGCCCTTCCGAATCAAATAGGTCTTGTACGACCCCATCCTCTTCACAACCCAGAATCGATTGCCCATGTCATTGTGCCAGCACTCTATTGCGGCCGTTCGACCTTTTGACGTCTCTCCGTCCATCAAACGAGATCGACACGTCGTATACGATGAAGTATTCCTCGCGCAGGAGAAGGGATTCGATCGGAAGAGGAGTTTTCCGTGGCTCCAAACGTGCAAAGCAGAATCTCATGCACTTGACATGCTGCTAGTGTAGACGTATCTATCCTTCACCTGCTTCTCGCAATCAAGGTAAGATTGTAGCGGCGGGTCTCTGTGTCGTGGCAGGTCCACTAGCGCGTGACGATCTCGCGCCGCCTCACGATGCCACAAAGTTTCTCAAGACCTCTTTATTCTATTGTGTAGCACTTTGTATGCATTTTAATTCAAACAATGACTATTTTCAGCCAATGAATGTCGAGCATCGGTTGGGACCACGACATCCATGAATCTGACCTCACTTTCGCAATTGCCATCTCATCATGAGCTACAAGTTGTTCGTGCCCCAAGGCAGCTCCCGCGCCTTCAAGATTTTGATCGCAGCTGAATACAACGGCGTGAACCTCGAGATCCCGGAACACTTCCAGATGGGTGTAGACAACAAGTCGGCTGAGTTCTTGAAACTCAACCCCTTGGGCAAGGTCCCCGTCTTGCAAACCCCTGAAGGGCCCATCTTCGAGTCGAACGCGATCGCTCGCTATGTCGCTCGCATTCGTGCTGACACCGGCTTGCTCGGCAAGACCTTCTACGAATCCGGCCAAGTCGACCAGTGGGTGGACTTCGTTGCTAACGAACTTGAAGTGCCCCTCAACGCGCTTTTGTACCCCATCTTTGGCTACCGCAAGTGGGAAGCTGAACTTGAAAAGAAGGCGATTGAAGACACGAAGAAGGTCTTGCAAATCTTGGAAAACCATTTGCTCCTCCGCACGTACTTCGTCGGCGAACAAATCACCCTTGCCGATATCTCGGTGTTCGGTGCCTTGATCTACGCTTTCAAGTTTGCTTTGGACAAGGACTTCCGCAAGCCTTACTCCAACTTGCTCCGTTGGTTCACGACTGTGGCTGCTCAGCCCGAATTCGCCGCCGTTGTCGGTGACGTGTTCCTTGCCGATACCGCCACCTTGGCCGACGGTGCTCCTTCCAAGCAAGCCCCCAAGAAGGCTGCCGCCGCCCCCAAGGCCAAGAAGGAAGAAAAGCCCAAGGAAGCGGATGACGACGCTGATTTCGATGATGCCCCCAAGGAAAAGAAGGTCGAACACCCCCTGGCTGTCTTGAACCGCACCAGCCCCTCGAAGCTCAAGTTTGATGACTGGAAGGTCACGTACTCGAACACCAAGCCTTTGTCCAAGGCCATGCAATGGTTGTGGGACAACTACGACCCTGAAGGGTACTCTTTCTGGTTCTGCACGTACAACTACAACCAAGAAAACACGAAGCTCTTCATGACGTGCAACGCCGTCTCGGGCTTTCTCCAACGCTCGGAAGCGATGCGAAAGTTTTCGTTCGGTGTGCAATCCGTCCTCGGCGCCGAAGGCGGTTTGATTGAAATCGTCGGGTGCTGGATGTTCCGTGGCCAATCGGTCGAACACATGCTCGAAGCCAACCCGGATGCTGAATACTACACGTGGACCAAGGTCGAAGTCCTCGACGACGCCGCCAAGGCCCGCATCGAAGAATACTTCTGCTCGGAAGAGACCATCGACGGCAAGGTCATCGCGGACGGCAAGGTCTTCAAGTAAATTAATTGCAACAAAACACCGGTTTTGCAATTTGGTCGACTCGGGCTTCATTTATGCACGGATAGATTTCTTATTTAAGACTGGACTTAAGTGTCCAATTCGTTCGTTCACCGTCGCCGACGAGCCACGGGGCACGCATACGCCAGCATCACAACATCCTGTCTGACCCAAGCTTTCGCATGCAGTTCGCGCCTGTGAACCTGAATGAGACTCTTCTTCGGCCTCTCGAAACCCACGCACCTCGCAGTCTCTCGGTCTTCAGCCTCTTGCTTCACAAGTTGAGCGATGACCTTTCGCTCCGATGCCTTCTGTCGCAGCCACTTGTTGTATGCTTCACTGGCTTTGGTGGGATCTCGTGCACATGGAGCTACTCGTTTTGGCGGCGCCTTGTCCTTGGTTCTCCGCACCTGTTGTTCGACTGGAAAGCCCACGCGAGGCTTGAACGGTGGGACTTCGGGTCGCTTTCGTGCTACCTCCACACGATTCGACTGGTGCTTTTGACGTCGTTTGGAGTCGAGCCATGCCTGGACCCGTTCGTCGCGCTCGCTTTTGGCCACGTCATCATCGCCGTTCTCTTGGACCACTGATGGTTGGCTGGTCGGCACTCGCTTGGATCGTTGCCATGCGTCAAACGTGCGCTTGCACAGCAACTATATCTAGATCAGACATGGCGACTTGGCGATGAGATGATTGTACCTCATGCAACGGCACCACGTGCCGCTTGGCCAAGTCCTTGACCGCCACATACTCTTGTCCTACAGCCTCTCGTGTCTGCCAGTGCCATCGACTGCCCGGCAACAGCGCCCCCGACGATCCCATTCGATGTTCTCTAGTGTGTCAATGGAGTAGATCACTAAATATAGAGATAACTCTCCATGCTCCTGTCATTCTAATGTCGATGTCTTTCTCGGTGCAAATTCCATCCACAGGATTTCAACCCAATGTGTCCAAGTCGTTAGGACGCTTTGATACGAGACGATCTTCACCGCTACGCCGCTCCGCTGCCATCGTCTTCGTAGTCTTCGTTGCCGCGACCCTTGACATCTTTGAGTGCATCCTTGTCCAACTTTTTGAAAACGGTGCCGCCGTTGTACCCCGCAAACACCTTGGCCGTGATCTCGACTTGCGCGTCTTGGGGAACCAATTCTTGTGGAATCGGTACACGCTCGACAATTTCAATTCCCTACACACCTTACGTTTACACCAACCCAACCTGCAACGACTTACCGAGTTCACAATGGCATCGTACTTCATGTCGCTCATGGACACAAATTTGTCGATTCGGGTGATGCCAAGCCAATGCAGCGCATCCGGCATTAGCGCTTGGAACCGCACGTCCTGAATTCCTGCCACGGCCTGTGTGCAGTTGAAGTACTCGGCGGCCGAGTCCCCCCCTTCCTGACGCTTTCGAAGGTTGTAGACCAAGTACTTGGTCACTTCGCCCAACGCGCGACCTTCCTTGCGGAAATACACAATCACTCCGGCGCTGCAGAATCGTTCATCAGCAATACGTCGCCAATGAAGGAATCGACATACCCGCCTTGCTGCGCAGTTTCGACGCAGACCTCGATGGCATGAGTCAAGTATGGGCGACATGTGCAAATGTCCGAACCAAACACGTCCGAACCGTTGCACTCGTCGTGGACTCGCACAGCCAGTTTCTTCTTCGGGTCGGTGATCGCTGCCACGTCTCCAAATATGTAAATGGTCAACCTACGATACGGCAAACGAACCGTCGATCAATGCCGCGATCGAGAAAAACCTGCAAATGAAGAAATGTATACCCGCCAATGGGAGGAAGAAAGATTTTGAGATCGTTGCGCGTGACCAGTTCGGGGTACATGCCATTGGTTTCTTGGAAGATTTGCTGGCGCAGGTTCGACTCGGTCGTGTGGAAGCGCTTGGCGACGCCTGGCAAGTACCAGACAGGGTCGATCGCTGCCTTGGTGATAACCAGCTGGCACGTTTCTTTCAAAATCTTTCCGTCGGGCTTCAGTCGACCCTTGCGCACCGCCTCGTGGATTTCCTGCATGTCCATGTGGGCCTTCGTGACTATCAACACCAATGAGAAACATTCATGAAGTTTGCGGCACTCGACGACTGGTACCAGCAATAGTGGGTCGGATGTCATAACCTTTTTCGAAATGCTCTGGAAACGCTTCCAAGACACAATGTCCAAAAGGATCGATCGTCACAATCTACAAGAACGTGCGTTCACCTCTACACATGATTTCATCACAGATTGTCAACCTTTTCTGGGTTTCCCCAGGCAGGAAACGGTCCAATCTTAGCTGCGGGGGTAGTCTTGGACAAGTCAGGGTTCGCCGCCTGTAATCGACACATGACTTACTCGAGAGGTTCAGTGTGCTCACATACCTTGTCGAGCGCACCAGAGGCAACAGCTAGGCCTCGGTAGATACAGTACGACCCACCGTGAGCTCCGATCGCGTTACGATACTTGTCATGGCGGTTCGTGCCGATGATCGGTCCTCTCGCGTCAGGGCTGGAGTGTCCCCACTACAATTGTACTATTGACCTCGGCCAAAGCAGCGAAGACAATTTAAACCAACCTTTACGCGCACGGGCTCGACTCCAAATGTTTCGGCGTGGGACGTTAACGACACGTATACGCTCTTGGGGTCGAACAAATCCTTCTCCTCGATCTTCTTCACGTCTTCCGCTATGTGCGTCCACAACATGAGCACGCGTCATTCACCATCCAAGGGACCAAGCGCAGATACCATCGATCGATTTTTTGCGCTTCCCGAGAGTGCTGACCTTCTTCAGCGACGCCATGGCTGCTATTTGGGGGAACGGAATCTGCGGCTACGCGCAAGATTTCAAATTGGAGAAAGATCACTCTTCTCTTCGACAGAATTCCATTTGTTTTTTGTATACTATACAATGATCCAATCTGGAGTAAATCCTTACGGAGGATGAAAACGTCTACTATGTGTTTCGTACGGCATGACGAATTGCAAATCCCACTTGTACACACGCGACACCGGCCAAACAAGGACCTCGATCACGCGTCCCATCAATCACAAACGCTGCTTGTATTTGTGGGCGCGCGCGCTGCTTTGGACCACGGGAATGTATGGCGTGGGTCTTGAAGTTGCGCGATCAGAGGAATATGGGTCTTGGAAGTGGTCAAATGTTTCATTGGAAATCCAGGCAAGCAAATGCGGTGTGTGGGAATATCATCATCGAGAGTGCATCTAACCATTTGAACCAGCACAAGTACAATGCAACATGCACGGCGACGTGCTACCTTGTTCCATGATCCAGCTCGCATGCATCCTTTCTCGCTCGCACCCACAACTTATTCTCACGATGGCACAGCGACTTCTCAGCCCAGCAACTTCAACACGTTCGAAACCCGTCTTGTATTTCCTACGGATACGTATCCGGCTATCTTGAAGCGACGCTGGAGTCGCACATGGGCATTCCGACCGCGCAGGAGGACATTCACACCATTGCAGCAAATGCATGGGACGAGCTGGCGATTCCATCAGGGTCGTCTGTGGACCGCATCGTGTCAGTTTATCGTGAGATCTGTCTCAAGCGGGCTTTGGGCATGGAGGTAGACAAGGAATTCTTCAAGAAGGCCGTTGCATACCGTTTCCTGAATTCCATTCCCCTTGCACGGAAAGAATACCGCGCGGATGACATCTTGCCATTGCTGCATTCGCTCGATGCCCAAGGTGACATCACTGACCCATCTCGAAGCGTCCGGGCGTGTGCGATGCTTGATGTGTCCATCGGGTGCATGGAGCGTGCCCAAAGCCCGTGGCACCTTCCCCACGTGAACTACGTGATCAACGTGCATTACTGCATGCGAAAACACGTCGTGCGACGTCGATACACAGAATTCCAGGCATTGCACAATGCATTGATGCAAAAGCTCCCCGTCATTCCGCATGTAAGTGGCGCAGACCGACTTGTTTGCGCTTCATCCAAGGTGTAGCTGCCCGAGAAGTCGTGGCGGTACAAGCTCATCATGCCAAGCGACCGGGCGCGAGACCTCGTGCTTTACTTGAGTCGCGTCATCCAGCTCTTGACGTATCGCAGGCTGTTTTCGACCGACATCATGGCATTTCTCGACATCAATTTCTGCAAAGTCCGGTCTGAGGAGGAGGCGCTGTCGGCAGACGCGCTCAACCGCATTGCCCCCGTCTTAGAAGGGTCCATTGTTTTTCTCGTGGGTTCGTCGTGGATGTCGCAGTGGCGCAACTTTGTCCTGGACAAGGACGGAATGTCGCCACCTGGCCCGATCTCGAACGAAGACCTCCTGGACGAACACGGCATGCCGAAAAAGCACATGGTCGCACCTCGGCACTACCGCTTCCTGAGCGCTCCTGGTACTAACGTGTCCCGATCCAAGTGGATGTTCCGGAACGAGGTTTGTTTCGTGTAGCGTGGAAGTTTTTTTGGCTGATTTATCGCGGCGGGCCCGAAATCACGCGCAACACGAAAACCATTTACGCCCCGACGGTGCTCAGTCCTGACATGGCGTGTTTGAAAATACAAACGTACGTGCGGGGCTTCTTGGCGCGATCGCAAGCGCGCCGCCGACGACGGTCGCTCGGCCTTCGTCGCCCCATCATGGAGCGATCGTACGAAGCGATGGAAACCCTTCACCGGACCGAGCAAAAGTCCGTCGCTACGATTCAAACCTGCACCAAATCCTGATATGACGATAGAATGCAAAACATTCAGTCGCTGCTACAACTCAAGGTGACGCAGAACCGGCACTCGGCTGCCGTGACCATCCAACAAGCGTACAAGCGGTACAAGCACCGAGTGCTGTATGCGGACGACATCCCCGTCAAGGTAACCCTCCATGAATCCGACCGAATCGTCCAGGATGCCCAACATGAACGTAGATCGAGACGACCGTTGTGCCGGAGGTCGAAGTCGACTACTTTACGCTCCAAGAGATCGGACTCATCGACGATGACGAAACGCGGCTCGTGCAATTTATACACACGATGCAGAAAGGAGTGGCCATTCTCAAGGTACCGCCTGAATATATCTGCACGACGCGATCGACGGCGGTGGTGTAGCTGAGCTCTCGGTACAAACCAACGCCCAAGCTCAAGTTTTTCAAACTTGACCGCATCGGGAGTCAACTCATGTGGACATGCAAAGCCAAACCAACGCCCAAGTCGATCGTGTTGGCGCATGTCCAACGCATTGCCATCGAAGCGCCCGTTGCGCTCAAGTCGGTGCTCGGCCTACGCCCGAAACAGGTCCAGCGACGCCGTCGTAAATTGCTGACGCGAAGGAACATGCATAGACGGCGGTGCTGGACCATGGAGTTGTCATGACGTTGGCCGACAAGGAAGTCGTCCTGGTGGCGGACTCCAAGTGCGCGTGCAACGCCCTCTACTTTGGCCTGCAAATCTTGATCAAGGAGGGCAAGGTGTCGATGACAGCACCGAATCATTTCGACGAAGATGGCGTGATGCGACGCCAGCTCGTACATGCCAAAGATCTCGTGCGGCAAGCGCTTGTTGTGCACGACGACCTCGTGGCCGATTTGTGATGGCCACGCGATGCGCCACGATTCCATCGCAGCTCCACGTGCAGATAAGGGACATGTACAATGGGTTTCGTGTTCAAGAGTTAGACGTTGATGGAGTCGACGCTGTCGACAAGGAGGAGGGTCTGGTACTTTTGCATGAGCGGGTCCACGCATTCAGCGACGAATTCGTCCACTTGTTCGGGGGAGCGCCCGACAAAGAGCTTGGGGTCCAACAGTTGGTCCATCGTCGCGTGGACGGCGGCAAAGCGGGAGTCGGCAGCAATGCGGTCCAACAAGTCGTTGGCCGCACCTTCTTCCTTGACGCGGCGGCCAGCAGCCATCGAGTGTTCGCGGATAGCTTCATGCAACTCCTGGCGATCGCCACCAGCCTTGACACATGCCATGAGAACGTTTTCTGTCGCCATGAAGGGCAGCTCGGCTTTGATGTGGGCCGCGATCACGTTCGGCCACACTTGGAGGCCGTCGCTGACGTTTGCGATCAAGTTCAAGATCACGTCGGTGGCCAAAAACGCTTCAGGGAGGACAATGCGACTGTTCACCGGGCTACCGTGAGACTCGAGGCGGCGGCGACTTGCGAGACGTACCGGTTGGCCGAATCGTCCAGGGTACGCTCGAACCATTGCGACGCATGGGTGTGGCCGCCATTGTCCGTCAGGGACATGACGTACCGCGCCAAACTGCACACACGTTCGGAGCGCATGGGGTTGCGCTTGTACGCCATGGCAGACGATCCAATCTAAACCAAGTCGCATGGGCTGCTGTCGTCGCACGAGACCGCACTCACCTGGTTCTTCTCAAACGGCTCTTCGATCTCCTTCATGTTGGCCAAGAGGCGAATGTCACCAGCCATTTTGTACGCGGACTGGGCGATGCCGCTCAAGATGCTCAACACGAAATAGTCGATCTTGCGGGTGTAAGTTTGGCCGGACACTGCAATCACGTGTTCGAATCCGAGTTGGTCGGCCACCTTGCGATTCAACTGCTTGACTTTGTCGTGGTCGCCGTTGAACAACTCGAGGAAACTGGCTTGCGTGCCGGTCGTCCCCTTCACGCCGCGCAACGGAAGCGTCTGGATTTGCGATTCCAACCGGTCGTGGTCCAAGAGGAAGTCTTGGATCCACAGCGTCGCGCGCTTGCCGACGGTCACAAGCTGCGCAGGTTGGAAATGGGTGAACCCCATTGTCGGCATGTCCTTGTACTGGACCGCGAAATCGCGCAGAGTTTTGACAACCTTGAGCAACTTGCGCTGAATCAGTTCGAGCCCTTGCTTGATCTGAATGATGTCCGCATTGTCCCCAACATAGCACGACGTCGCACCCAAGTGGATGATGGGCATGGCAATGGGAGCGGCCTTGCCGAACGCATGCACGTGCGCCATGACGTCGTGACGGAACTTCTTTTCCATCTCATCAGCGTACGCATAGTCGATGTCGTAGATGGCCTTTTCCATCGCACGCAATTGCTCGTCCGTGATGGCGATGCCAAGCTCTTGCTCAGCGCGGGCAAGGGCCAGCCACAGCTTGCGCCACGTGGAAAACTTGGTGTGGGGCGACCACACCAAGCTCATTTCCTTCGTGGCATAGCGGCTCACGAGCGGGTGCTCGTATTTGGTCTTGTCGTCGGTCATCGTACTTGGTGGAACGAAATGTGCCCATGGACACGTTGGTGGATTCGAATTATCCGGATACCAACGCATTTCAAGGGGCAGTCATCCGGATATCGCGGCGATCGTCATGTATCCACCCATAGCATCAGACCAATCACATGTCGTCTGCGACCCAAAATGCACCAATCACGCACGACTTCGATTGCAATGGACATTTCCGTTGTGTGAATAGCTCACAAAATCGCCAACGACAGGGAGGCCCGCTCCGGGCGCGTCGTCGGGATGTCAGGCAGCAACTATGGCAAGGTGCTTCTTTCCTTGGTGGGGCATGCGAAGCCTCCAGGGTGTGGAATGAATGGCAAATTCCAAGAAGCGTATCACAGTTGGCGTGGAAAAGTTGTAAGATGGTGTTGTTGCATCTACAGTTCAAACACTTTGACTTTACTGCGTAAATGATAGATCAACATCATGGCCGTGGGGCGCTGGGACGGATCCGGGTGTAAACACAGCTCGACCAAATCGCGGAGCGCTGGCGGTGCTGAGTGGGACAGAGCTGGGCGCAAATGGTCGTGCACGACGCTCTGCATCCTCTGTCGCGAATGGTCAACAGCGTTGTCACTCGACTTGCTCGACAACGACAGTGTCGTTCGCTGAGACTCGGGAGTGGTCGACCCATATGGGTACGCCAGCGTATCAAGCTCGGTGAGCACCACTCCAAAGGCATACACGTCGGAGGCGGGAGTCGTCGGCTGGCCCGAGAGAACTTCAGGCGCAATCCATTCCCACTTCGACGAGACGGTAAACTCGCCATCAGCAAATGACGCTGGCAATGGGAATGGCTGCACGGCGAACGCACTCAATTTCGCCAGGAGGTCCGAGTTGAGGAGAATATTGGATGAAGTGAGGGCAGCATGCACGAGGGGTACTTCTAGCGTGTGCAAATACACGAGCGCTTTCGCGACGTCCATCGCAATATCAAGCTTGGTTTGCTTCCAGTCCCACTCGTCCTTGTGGTTGGAGCTGCTTCGATTCGAGAGCTGCTTCAACTTTGCATCGAGGTTCTCCCGTAAGCTGCCGCAATCCATGAACTCCGTGACGAGACAGAGATGCTCGAGCATGTCCCACCCGACGCCGACGACGGTCGTGATGTTCGGGTGGTCCAAACTCACCATGAGCCGCACAGATTGGGCGAAATGTACAATGCCCTTCTTACTTCGGTAGGTTGGAGCGAGTTGCTTGATGGCCATAATTTGGCCATCCACGCGACCGAGCCAGACGTCGTAGAGCGGTGACGACGACTTGGCGAGGTGGCGCTCAAAGACGAGAGAGACGTAGTCTAACCGTTTGAAGCTGATTGCAGGGTCCAATTGGAAAGACTTGAGCACAGGCGCGGACTCACAAAGTCGCTCGTTGGACTGCTCCATGTCGTTCAAGTTCATGCCCTTTGAGCTCGACACGTGAGAGTTGCAGCTTTTGTTGGAATACACGGTCGTGCCAGTTGCAGAATCTCCGCCTTTTGAAGCCTTTCGACGGCAGAAACACACGATTGCAAGAACTACGAGCACCAAGGCACCGCCGCCACCTGCGATGCCGATCACCATCGCGTTGCTTGACTCCTGGGTCACTGGAGCCAAAGTAAACGGTGGGGCTGTTGTGATCGGGGTAGGAGGCAGCGTGGTAGCTTGGCTGAGTTCTTTCAGCCAAGCCTGCATCTTCGCGGAAGGAGCAATGGCACATGTAGACAATGCGGACGTTTGTGAAATGCACGGAGCAGTCGATGCAAGGAACGACGTCGTGGCACAGGAATCACCGATTGGGTTGACATGGATAGAGTACGGAATCGATGTGATGGATGGGTCATTCTTCAAAAGTGTTGGGTTGGGTGGGTTGGGGAAGTTGTCGACGGTGAAGCCCCAAAACACTTTGGTTTGGGAACTTGCAACACGCGAGTTGACCATCGACGCGTTGATGGCGCACTTGGGCAACGACGACGAGAATGCTTGACACGGTTTGTTGATCCATCTGCTGTACCCGCAATACTCGTACACATTGTCGCAGGATACAGATTTGTCTGACACTTGGATATCGTCCATCGTGACGAACGATTTACTTCCCGACGGACACACCGCAAAAACACGAGTGTATTCTGCTTCGCTTCCATATCGAACATACCCGAGCGACCAAAGCACAGCATTCTTCGCCGTCTTGGGCAACACGTCCCATGTGAGTGTGTTGGCTGCCAAAAGCGACACGACGTCCGCAGGTACGGGGTTGAGCGCCGGCACCGTCACTTGCTTGAGCTTCTCAACGTTTTGGCCCTTCTCCACGTTGTAGAAAGACGTGACGACGTCCATGCTGGTCCCGGTCGCTCCTGGGTTCCTTGTGCGCTGGCTTTACTTGCCAGTACGCTCAGTGAATATTTCACATGGACGGAGGTTTGTTCGACCGGATGCATTTTTCCGGAAGACTTCTTTTCGTGGAAAGTGGTTGCAACAGGTAGTGTAACACTATTTGAGGTTGACGTGCTCAACCCAAAACGTATATACTTCTAGTAATACACAAACCAAGTATTCAATGCACTACTACAGTATTTAGATTTCCACACTATTTAAAAGTACATTGACAGAACCGGATCATGCAGTGAGCTTGACGTCCACGACATCACGGACGCCCTGGAGGAGCAGCTGCCGCATCATTTTGGTCTTGTCGTTGGGGCCGATGCCGATGTCGTTTTGAATCTCGCAAACGTGTTGGGATCCGTCACTGTGTGTTACGAGCACGCGGCGACATGTGCTGTTTTCACACCATCCTTCCCCTCCACTCATGTGCCACGCATTGCGCACGATGAGTTCGAACTCGTCGTCGTTCGGAATCCCCGCGCCGAGGTCGCGGTAGTAGTTGAGAAACTCGTGCCAAGTCACAATTCCGTCGGCTGGACTTTCGCCGCTCGGGCCAATTTGCTGGCCTTCAAAGACCGCCAGGAATTGCCTCAAGACATCGACGGGTTTAAGGCGTCCTGAGAGGATGTCAGGGTGGTGCGCCGTGTCAAAACGAGATGCTATCTCGTCCACGGTCACAGTCCCGTCCTTTGACACGTCCAACAGGTCAAATGCTTGCCGCACGAGAAGGATCCGCCGCTTGCTCATGCCGCCCTATCTTGCTTCGTGAGTCCACTCTCGATGGACGCCGTAGTGCATGGTGCGCACCCGTAGACCTCGAAGCAACTCGTCAATCGTGATGCGGCCATTGCCGTCGCGATCGAAATGCCGAAACACTTTTTCCAGTTCGGTCTCGTCGATCTCGTTCGATTGAACCCCCAACTCGAGGAGCCCGTTGTAGAATTCCTACTCCCCCTGTCGCTGAGATCACAAATCGGTCGATTCGTCGATGAACCTCTTTGTCGAGCGTACGATCTCCGTTTTGATCCATTCGCCGTAAAATCACGGTGAGAGTTCGAATACCGTTCTTGCCGCCGCTTTCAAGGATAAGCGCTTTCACCTGTACACAAGAAACGTTCTTTGCCTCCCGCGCGTTGCGGCAGATGATGGTGTACCCGCTCAACGATGGACGTGACCTGTTTGTGTGGCTTGGATGCCCCATTTGTGCCAAACACAGCGTTCGCGAACTCTGTGTAGGACAATGTCCCATTCAAATCTTCATCGTACCGGTCGAAGAGACCCTCCAGCTCCGCTTGAACTCCAACAAAGTTGAGCTTGACCATGGCCTCCGTGAACTCGTGGTAGTCGATCACGCCCGACCCGTCCCTGTCAAAGTAGCGAAAGTGCTTCTCCAACAACTTCGCCTGAGTCACTTCTTCTCGGTACCCCGACTTGACTTCGAATATGCTTCGCAGCTTGTCCTGAATTCCGTCGACTTTGGCCTCCATGGCACTTGGATCTTGCGTCCAAACGCCACCGCTGGAAAGTTTGTAACTGTCATTCCGGAGAGTTCGAATTTGAGATCTGCACGACGGCGTTCCCCCGGCACACCACCGCTCGATGCTGTCCATGCACCAAACATGTCAAATGCATGATGTTCAGAGAGCTCTAGGCGATACCAGAACGCCTCGTGTCTGTTGTCCAACATGGGAGCTGCGAATCGGCGACAGAAAGGGTAGGACTGCAGCGAGACATGGTGTGATGAAATCAATAAGCCTCACGATAGATCCGTCCTGCAAACATTGGAAGCTCGTGGCGGAAAGAGGACTGCAAGATATGACGTTGCAAGCATTGTTACATGGTCTGCAGTGTCGTGTCTAGGGGCATCTCTGTGGAGTAGCCCCGTCTAATGACTCGTCTTCTTTGTGCAAGTCTTTGAGCAACTGCTTGATGCTGTCGTTTTGGAAGGACGACGGGTTCCGTGTGGGTATTGACAAGTCCTTCAAATTCACTTCGGCCTTGGATTGTGCCCACTGCATGACAAAATACCCGCAAATGATCGGCGTGGTGAAATACACCACCGTCATGACTGCCTTTCCTTTCGGTCCGAGTGGAATCCGCGTGCTGTGGATGCGCTTCTTTAGCCGTTCATGCGCATCGAGAAAGTCTCGGACGACGCCCATCCTTCGCCGTGGCGATTTCCGTGCGGAACGAATGAATTGGCCGGATACATGACTTACAGTTAGTGCAATTTACCGAAAATAGTAAACCTGTAGAAAACAATGCTCTTCGGAATCAAGAGTATATAGAAAAATAGAGGTACATCTCGGTGATGCGGTGTGACATCGGCACAAATGAGACCTGTTCGAGACGAACGCTGTCCGAGGACCTAAACGCGCGACATAGTATCCGCATAGCAATGAAGCTGTTTGGCAAGCCGCAAGATGGCACCACAAGGCAGCGTGCCAGGGGACGAGACCGAAAGCACGATCTTATAGATGGCGCGGCGCTCCTCGTGGTCGAGGAAGGTGTTGGGCCATTTTGGCCATGGAGATTCCTTGCACTGTCGGTGGTGCTAATGGCGAGTTGCATTGGCATGGTTTAGAGTAGCGTGATACATGATTGCTGTTCGTGCGATATGAAAATGCGTTTTGACTGTGAAGACAGCTTGATAAGTCCGACGAATTGCCACGACACAGTTCGCCCTATCTCATGAACGGATGCCCTTAAGCATGTTCATAAACTACCCAATCAAAGCAGAGATTTTGCGCGGTCGAGTGCACCAATCGTGAGCGTCATATAGAAAAATTCCACCAATCGGGTGGTTAACGCTGCAACTATTAAAGATCAGAGGAGTGCACGAAAATAGATGGTAACCGAATTCGTTTTTACAGGAAATTCTACGTTGCAGGTCCTACTGACGTGGCGCCGCCGCAGCGCCCGAGGTGTCGAGCGCTTCATGCTCCGTCATGCACATGTCTCGCACACAAAACGACAGGTTCTTGCCATCGCCCATCGCGAAAGGCCAGCGCTGGTGAAATTGGCACCTACCGTGATTTTTATACGCCGAGTTCACATGATATCCACTGCGATGTTGTTCGATACGACCGCGATGGCCCTGTCCGGGAAAGTTGCGTCTTCTTGGGTGTCGATCCTCTCGACTTTTCTCGGGTGGTTGTGCGAGATGCACAACCGACCATCCGTGGCGGATCTCGACAGAGACAGACGCCTAGCCGACGCGTGTGGTCAGTTGTTTGCGTCCCCTCGTCTCGCCGCCGCCGCCGGTCGCGTCGGTCGCAGGTCGGGCAAGCCAATGAACGGCGACATGAGTCTGGATTTTGGCCGTACCACCGTGGTTGCACAGCTACACGCCAATGTTGGCGCTCCAGCTTCACCTGGGCGGCTGGCAATCCTGTTGTCCATTGCTTCAAACTTCGTGATCCGTCCAGGCCTCAAGTTCTTATGCTGCCTTTGATGCCCGGATTCCGAAGGTGGGCGTCGACAATGCCATAGCTGGAACGCCGCATGCTCTTCCCACGGGGCCCAGTCCCGCCCTCAATCTCACCGCCATGGCACAACTCGGAAATGTGTCCATGCTCATGTGCTGCACCCAACACAACGCGATGCGCATCTTATTGGCTAAAAAGAACTTTTCGGACTTTTGATTGGTGGAGGTATTGAACAAGGTGAGAAATTTTCGGTTGATTCGAATTGGCAAGGCCACGGCAACTTCAGGAGACTCTCCCAAGCACATCCACCGACCATTCCCGCATTCGCGTCATGCCAGACATCCAGTCTGCCACGGCGTTGCCGTCGCCTCCGTCCAAGGAGACCAACACAGTCGTGGCCTTGCTCTCGACGAAAGATCTGCTGGCTGACCGATCCTTCATGGACGGGTTGAAGATCAACCGAAACACTATTCGACAATCTCTCAGCATGGCCGCCAAGTGGCGCAACGTCGGATACAATCCATTTCATCTGGATGCAGATGGCTATACGGCACTTCACCGTGCTGCTGGCAAAGGCGACGATGCACTCGTAAAAGCGCTGCTGTCTACTTACAAAGGTGACCTCATCGACTTCGCATCCCTTGCTTCATCCAAGCAAGGACAAACGGCCTTCCATCTCGCGTGCAAGGGAGGGCATTTCTCGACTGCAAAAGTACTCCTCGCCGCCGGAAAGAGCTTATTGTCTTGTGTCGATCGCCATGGCAACACTCCGTTGCATTTTGCTGCTACATCCTGTGTGCCACAAGCACTGGCGCTTCTCGAATGGCTCATCAGTCACACACCTCGAAGCTACCTCTTCAGGGCAAACAACCACGGCCTCAGTCCTGTCGCTGCTCACGTTGCTGTGACGACCACCGACTCGACAGCAATACTTCGCCTCTTCCTCGAGCGCGGGTTAGACCCGAATGCCATGATCCGCGGCGAAAACACGCTGTTGCATGTGTGCGTCGAGCGCAAGTTATTCAACATGGCCGGGTGTCTGGTGGAATTCGGAGCTTCCCTCAATATCCCCGACACTCGCGGCATCCTCGTGACGGACTTGTTGCCTGACTGTCAATTGGCTGCCGTCGTCAAGTACGCCGCCGGCCCGCAGGACTGGGTCACCCTCATACGCAAAAAGTGCATGTCGTGCACGACGAAATTTCACCTCTTTCGTCGCCGCCACCACTGCCGTCTCTGTGGCCGCGTCCTATGTGGCGCATGCACGAGAAGCAAGCGATCGCTGAACGATGACGTTGGGGTCAAGGTGCGCGTGTGCCACATTTGTGTGACCGTGCCGCGGAACAAGACCAAAAATGGCAGCATGACATCGACTAACAGTGACGGGCCGTCCACTGCTATCACGATGTATTTATAATCCTTCCCCATGAATATTAAGTTATCGTACTTCCGTGGGGCACGACACCCTCCCCCTTCTAAACTTTTGCTGGAAACTCCATGTCCGGTCCCGCCTCTTGCCAGCATAGACGACGCCGCGTTGTGCGACGCGAGGCGGCACTGGGTTGCTCCCTTTGCGCATGAACAATTCAAGTTTAGAGCTCGGGAACCCCCGCCAAGTCTGCGCTGCTTGGTGCATCACGATGGGCATGCACAAAGTCCGATTCGCTCCCCTGATGAAACTTTCGAGATTCCAAATGCTAGCCGTCTGGGCCGGTCGCCATCCTGTCTGGTACGTCCTCTTTGTCATGGAGAACTTCGTCGACCATGCAAAATTGTTCGACAGTTGCCGACAGCGGATCTTGGGTCACCGGTGATCATTACCGTGTTGTTGCCACGTCCGACTGCGTCCTCGCCGTAACTTGAAATGATGCATCGTCATGTTGTAAAATATGCAACGCTACCCGACCTACGCCTGGAAATCGCCATGCGTGGGTAGCATCATCGGACCGCCGTCCTTCATGCTCTTGAAGTAGTAGTACAAGAAGTCGCCCATCATCAGCATGTGGCCGATTTGGACAAAGATGACAGTGTATCCCACATGGTGCCTATGTAGACAAGGGCAATGAAACTCACCGTTTGCAACGAGCAATGGCGTACCCAGCGTTCTTTTCCCCGAGCTCGTGGTACGAAAAGAGCCAAAACCAAAGGTGAAGGAAGCTGCCAAACGCCAAGGCGTACACCCAGTGCGAAATGCACGTCTCGACAGCACCGCCGCCCTATGCCCAAGCGTCAAACGCTGCTGTCAACTCGATAATCTCAAGGCGTACCCGCTTCTGAAACATGAACAATTGCGGCAAGATTGCAATCGCTTCAATGTACAACGCAATGGTCCACGACACGTCGGCAAACCAGTTCATATTCAGGTTCGGGTGGATCAACTACATGCACTAGATGATGGAGACGTGGAGAAGGGAATTAACTTACCATGCCGAGAAGGATGGATGGAACCAGAATGTAAACGATGCCGTATTCGCTGGGCACGTGCAAGTGGCCAAACGTGTCAAACTTAAAGTCGTACGATCCGCGGAACTGCACCGTGACAAGGAAAATCACGGCAAGAGTCAAGCCGAGGCCCACAAACTCGATAAACGTGTAGAGCCAATCGCCGCTTCGGTCGTAAGGGAGGTATCCTTGATACCGCGTAATCGAGCACAGGCGAAAGAAGAACACGAAGCCGTAGAGTTGCAACGTCTTGAGCGATAGACCAGACACCGACTTTTGCGTAAGGGACTTGAAGATCAAGATGCCAAACCCAAACGCACGAACAAACGAACCAAACGTCTACTTGGCCGTCAGAATCGCGCGTGTGGACGGTGTCCGTACCATGAGGAAGGAAAAGTCACCATCGCTGAGGAAGTGATAGCTGAAGAGCACAAAGGCGAAGAGACCTGTCCATGCAGCGATGTTTCCCTTGTGGCGCGCAAGAGCACCCCTATACAAGACACATGAGTTTGACTTCCTGCACAAAATCCTCGTACGAGATCGCCGGCTTGTCCTTGACCATGTTCATGATGCCGACCCAATGCAGAATGGGAGCCCCAAATTCGCAGGGTCCGATTCGGATAACATTATGCGGACATGTGGTGCTACGTGGCGCGGTCGGGTAAAGGCAATAATATCATTCCGTTTAATGTTCTCTACAAATATGTAGTACAACGTTTATTTATTTCATCTGAGTTCTCAGTGCTGCATCTTGACAGCACCATCCGAGATGACATGGATGGACATGGCGCCGCGGAGAGAAGGTTTCGACGCACATGTTGGCTCTAGAGACCGTGAAACGGAACACGGGCTATTCGACGAGGAGGAAGAAGTCCCTGAACTGTCGCATTCGTGTAAGTTTCAAGTGATTTGGCCCACCTTGGTGGAGCTAGGCAAGAGGAGGTGGGCCGTATAAACAAGGCGGGTGTGGAACGCCCTACATCACAACCCACAGCAGTATACACTCCACCCGTACACTTCAAATGCTCAGACGACTAACGGCGCCAAACACATGTGCTGCGACCTTCGAGGTAGGCACATTTCACAAATGTCAGTTGGCATGGAGTCGATCGATGCCAGCACTTCAAAGCCCTTGCATTCGTGGCTGCTCCCAACGCATCTGACTTGGCCAATGCCCA